GCTTACTATATTAACTTGAGAATCACTAGATTGAACGAATGAACTCTAGATTGCTGCACTTGAGCACTATTTTGGATAGCCTAAAGCCTTGCAGTGTCACTCGCTCTACAAACACACAGCGTTTCCATATTAAAGGCACGTCCACTTTAAAGGCAGTGTCCGGGCAGAAAGTAGATTTTGAGATTTTGTGCTTACCCGGGCCTACTATGCTGAATCCGAAAATCCACATTGGAAAGCGCAAAAACGGCAAAAAAGCGCTCTAGCGCGAGAGGGAAATCGAAAGTGGGCGGGGTCCTCCTTACTGTGACTTTCGCAGTCCCAGCTTCTGTAGCGATCTTCCCAATTCCTCTAGCGCTCTGAGATCTCCACCGGCCAGGTGCGAATGCATGACTTGAAATCGGACGCGAGAAGATCGCTCTGGAAGCTGGGAGCGTGAACTCACAGTGGGGAGAACCCCGCCCACCTGCTGATTTCCCTCCCGTGTTAGAGCCGTCTTTCGCCGTTTTCGCGCTCTCCAATGTGCATTTTCGGATTCAGTGTAGCGAATAGGTCCGGGTAAGTAAAAAATCTCAAGATTGAGTTTTTGCCCGGACACTGCCTTTAAGTTGAGGGTGTTGAACTTTTGGCAGCATATAACAGTAGGGTCCTCTATCAATCCAATGCATAAGTCGCGGCTCAAATTTTTGCTTCGGAAGCGAGAAAATCACTTTGGAATAACGAAGATGCACGAGAACCCCCATCCATGCCCGCCCTCCTTCATCGCCCCATTTGTGCGCACCCATCCAATCACCGTTACGGCCTGTGTGTTCTTCGGAATGGGGATTATCGGGGTATCGCGCATTCTCAACCTCATATTCAGAATCAAAGACATGAGGAGTCCCTGAAACAACAAAAACGTGGAAGTCGAAAATCTGGGTGGACGGTGCCTTCAAGAATATTTTCAGTTCGTTTTCGTTTCTTCAAAAAAAAAGTGATTTTTGATAAAATGGGTCTTCTTGCGGTTTACCAAGGCGGAATCTTCTTTCACTGTGCTTTTTGGGGGTTCTGGGTGGATACCGAGTCAAAACTAGGCCGTTCCAAGCAATTTTGCTCAAAATCTCCGGGATCTCAATGCGGATGCTGATCGGGAAGCTGTAGCGAAACGAATGCTTCAAGCAACAGCCAGGCAAATTTATTTGTGAGCAAAAATTTCGACTACAAATTCTAGGATTAGACCATGCCTTTTCCAAACAGACTTACGGGCCGTCAACAAATGGGATGTACTCCCTGGACTGAAATGTGTTTGTGCTACCCCTTATAAGGTGCAGCTACGATAATAGCTCGGGATAGAAATCAACTCACATATGAGCAACGCAGATGCTTTTGTTCTACAAACGGTGCTCTTGAAGAAATTTCTACCAACATAAAGAAATCTTTCGTCCACCTTTGCGGTGATGGCTTAAAAAAAAGCAATAGTTTTTATTATTTCATTCATTTTTGATTGCCATTTCAATTATTCAACTACTTTGCGTTTCGAATCAAGCGAAACATTGTACAAACAACGTAAAAACTTTATTCGTCCAAAAATGATGAACGTACTGGTCTAGTAAAGGTTGATTCCTATTGCTTTCTAAGTTCCGTAACCGCAAAGCCCTACACTAGTAATCCCACCTTTGATGTTGCATTCAGACTGATCCGCAACTAATTTATTATCAAACCAATGCATCACCTCCGCTTGGCGGAGGTTCGCACTGGCTCTGCTATCCGTTTGCCTTTCTTGTGCTCCAATGATGACTTTGAAACTCACCGCGCGAAGCTGAACATCACAAATGAACTGTAAACAGCTGTTCATTTTTGAAGCATCTCCAAGTAAGATCAGTAATTTTGAGAAAGAAAACCTTTTCGCAAGGGAACAAATGCGAATTTGTACGTATTACTGAATTTGTTTTAGTTTGATAATCGTCATAAGGGTAATAGTCACCTTGGGCTACATTTTCGTGCAAAAAATGTTTTCAGATTCTTAGGTATAACCTTGACAAATTGGCCATCTACGCGATCACCACTTTTTGGCGCTGTTTCCGCAGAAAAGCAAACTTTTCGTGCACTTTTTGAGCTAAAATTCATGAGGCGCAGATTTTCAGGCAAATCATGACTTTGCAAAATGTGGCATTAGCGACCTAGTTTCGCGAGCCAAAAGTCGCGTGGACCCGTTTGACGCGCAAATTTTGAAGGACCCGCTTGTCGGAAGGGCTCGCCTTTGTACATAGTGACCTACATGCTGGTATGGTATGTTATGCAAAACTGTAGCTCGAAAGCTTGGCTGCAGCTCCCTCTATGAATTTCGCGACAGACAGACGTACGCACACATATCCACACGCACAAAAAGACAGACGTTTAGCGCTTTATTACAAGTCATGATCCGCGGATCTTCTTTTCTCTGATCGCAATTGCAGAATGATAATACTTGTTACTTGTCGAATAATCCAAATACAGTTATAGAACAAGCAGGTAGGATTATGGGCTAATGAACAAATACTACGAAAAAAATTTAGTGCACTGCATTAGCCGTAGATGTAGGGCAATGCTCTGGGATGAAATTCTCAAGAATAACGACTAAATAACGCCCACGATGTGACCAACCGGTGAATCGTACGTATTCCTGTCAATTCGAACAATACGATCTACCGATATGTCGTAGTTTCTGAAATTCTCATTCTGCCGGCCAACGCTGAGCAAATTCATGGAAGTGGCAACCATCTGGAGATATTTATCAGGATTTCTAATCAACGTGGCCAAGGATTGGGGTCTTTAACACTAAGGTTACAACAAAGTATGCCGTAAGGAAGGATCAGGCGCAGAACTTAGCTCAAATTTTCAGTGATTTATGAGGGCATCATCAGGCAAATGTGTCCTATAAAGGTTTTTTCTGGTTGCTCATCGAGTTTCCAAGAAAAAATGCTATCCTAAAACACTAACATCCGCTCCGAAAATCGGAAGGGATGAAGGAAATTCATTGGCATGTGTTTTCTATAGTGGCCATAAATCGTCTGTATATTGTCAATCAGATCTTCGATTACGCCATTCTGGAAAATGCATGTGCGCAATTTTCCTATTTTTTGCTTCAAACTGCTTCAAACTCGAGAAATTTGAATTTTAGCTTGGACCAGATGACTTGCGAAAACTGTACTCGATATTTTTCGAGAACTAGAGCTTGTAGAGAGCTGGAAATTCACGTTTATACTTCTACAGGTCTGTAGTATACAACTACTTATGTGGGAACGGCACAGCATCACTTTGGCAAAAGCACGAAAATTTCCGTTTTCTTGATTTCTAACAGAGAAAAAAATACGGCATAGGCGTGTATAGGAATGTGAATAGTGAATAGTGTTTACGTGAGCAAGCTAGAATTTTTGTAGGTTTTTTATGAACTGAGTTAAGATTTTTCTGAATTTTTCGGACAATTGCATCTTTTTAGTTTTCGGCTCGAAACTCGTGGTGGATCAAAGTCGTTGCTAAAGCAAGACCGCCACCTTGTAGAGATTGCTTGCTCTATCGAATGGTGCTTTGCTTGCTATCTAGAGCTGAGAAGTGCAAGACTTATTGCGGTTGGAATTTAAAACCTGCATTAATTCTGTTACAACCTGATGGAAAAAACCTGTAAACCTCCATCTTAATCAAGCATCTGCTATCCACTCAGAACATTCATGTGCACACTTGCTCTTTTTCTGTTTTTGTAGCTAGGAAATCGAATAATGAAGATAACCCAACATGAAATCTCTTTTTCGGATTTTTTATGCTAAATTTAAATTTTCTTGACAACCGATTCTGAAGAACGCTGAAAATTGTTATGCTTATAAAGGTTTGTAGTATAGAATTACTTATATCGAAAAAATCCAGTACTGCTTTTGCCAGAGCATAAGAATTAAATTGCAGCCGTAGAATACAGCAAGTGTAACGTATGGATAGCTGGTAAGTAACTTTCTTGAGTAAGTTGGAAGTTTGTAGGACTTTTTGACAAAAATGTCATTTCTGGCCGTTTAGTTCTCAGATTTTTTTTGAACTTTCCGCGTATCAAACATTTAGCGACCGTTTGAACGTTAGTTAATAGAAGTTGCTTTGCTCTATTAAATGATAAGTTTCATACATTCTTATATCTTTTCTGCCGCATAACGACATGCATTGATTCTGCAACAACTTCAAAGAATAAGTTGTCGGAAATCAGGTACGATTCAAACAATGTAGTTGCTGACTTGTTTTTTATGAGACTATGTCGCTGTCACGTCATACCTGCGTAAATATAACAACGGTGACCGCAGAGTACTGCACGTGGGCCGAAAACCTGCGATGTTATGCACGTTTTTATCACTCGAAGAGACTCTCAGCAAACACTACGTGTTTATAACCTCTATTTTCAATCATTTTTCCGATTTATCTTTTAGCTTATCAGTTGCAGGATTTCAAACCTTTTTAGAGCGCTGTGCTGGTTACGTCCTGAGAATATCAAGCAGCAATTATTTCATGCATCTTAATAATCTAAGTAGCGAACCTCAAAAAAAAATCAGGTCATAACTGAGAATATGCTTGGCACATAACTGTGGCAAGAACATTTCGATGAAAACCTTTCCAATTCTTCCTTTTTGCTACAACTTTTCGTGACTGCTGCTACTAGCAGACAATTTTTTTCATTTTCAATTTCTGAACTTACATCAACTCACACACTTGTAGGAAGACGCGAAGAAAGAATAAAGAGAAGGATAGAGTGATCTTTTATTTTCATGCACTCTCTTAGTTCCAGATTTGTCGTTTTTCCTACAACCTTTTTGATTTTATTGTGAGTAATGCTACTAAAGGAAACGAAATGTTTTTTTTTCGATTTTATCTCGCTTATCTGATTTACAGCAACTGCGCAAATCTTAGTGCGTAGAACACCATTATATAAGTTAAATTTTTTATTTTATTTTATCCACCATAGATTTTTTCAATTTTATTTTAGCTGCCATGGAAATTGAATAGTGTTTGAGATGGTCAACTTCGTCATTTTTACAAGTTTTATGTAAGTCTTTTCATTCACCCGCTTCCCCAGCTCCTAATCGGGCAATAGCATCAACATTTTTACTTCTTTGCAAGAACAACATGGTTGCTTTGCATACTTAACTGTACATAGCTAGAAGAAGTATTAAAGAACAAAAATACGGATAAACATGAATGATTATCAAGTCACCTTCAAACTTGTGTTTGTATAACTATTATGGCAGCAAGATTATCTCAATGAGGGTGTCGCTCTTCACTTATTAGAAGAAATATAAGCAATGCCTTGCTATCGTTTTACATCTAAGGATGAGTAGTATGATCTTTGTCAGTTCCGCCCCTCCCTCCACCTTCCCAAGCGATACCATAATCCCCTGCACTTCCTCTTTAAAATTGTTATCCTTATGATATAGACTTGTTGCAGGTTCGTACTTGTGAGCGTTGCGTATGACATCGATTATTACGGTAACAGTACGCGGTAAGCCCCTAATACTGTTGAAAATTAATCAAGTTTTTTTTCGACATTTTGTCAACACTTGATCGTGAAACTGGCGCATTCTACAGGCTGAATTTGCAGGGAAAGTAAGAAAGTAACCCCTCACGAGGTGATGGAGAATATTCTCTCTCCAAGCTATGACTCACTGATACGCCCTCCTGTTGTTGATGATATGGGTGAGTTAAACAGATACAAGCACTTTCATTAGCCATTAAAAATCGAATTCAAACTTTAGAGAATAATATGCCTGCGCAAATCGACGTACAATGCTATGTTCGCAGATGAGTTAGACACACATTGAACTTTTTGTTACGGCTTATACTTATCGCAGGTGGTAAAGACTTCAATTTCAGCGTGATTGTGGACGTCAGCTTTACTCCAAAAGAAATTTTTTTACAAGTCTAAATTACAATTCTACAAGATTTTAACAATTTAATCAATGTAAAAAAGAAAAATCACTTGCATAACTGAATAACTTATCTAAACTACTTTCGAAAATATTGCATGATATCGGATTTAGAAGAGTAGGAAAAAGGAGAGGGTTTGAAGGAAAGGAAACTATAATTTCGGATGCACCGTCTCACAACCAGAGAACACGGTTTCCTTTCGAGATCGACGTCAAATAAACCTTATTAAAGTGGAAAATGCAGTGGCCCTGTTCGAAAAAGCATATATTTTAGCATGTCAAACATTGACTTCGTCAGAATGGAGTATACGCTACAGTTGACTTTTCGTCAATTTTGGCAGGATCCGAGGTTAGCATACGCGACAATGTTTCCAGGACGGTTGATACCGAATTTTTTGGTGATAACTAAACCTCACCTTATCTGGACTCCAGACACGTTCTTCATGGTATGACAATTTTTGATTTTTTTTGCTAATATTTTGTCATCGGTTACATGTTTGAGAACGAGAAGAAACGCCATACAATAGATAAACTCAATGTTATGTCAAGAATCTATGCAAACGGAGATGTTCTGTACTCAGAACGAATATCTCTTACTTTGTCTTGTGCTATGCACTTACAGGTACGTACTAAGAAGAGCAATTTCATATTTGGATCATTCATTTATTTAGAAATATCCGATGGACGAGCAAATATGCGGCTTATATTTGGCATCATACGCTTACACGAGTGATGATATAGGTAAGTTATACTTTGCCACTGTAGCGACAAACAAATCAAAGTCGCTGCTAACGACCCATGATTGTATTTAAGTGTATATTTTTGTATTCTAGTCAACACTGTCGAACTTTTAAGAAGCTTGTTCTTGAATTTCACAGTGTTTGTTTAGTCTAAGGATGTCAGATCAAAGGCCTATGCCCGCACTTTCAAGATAATATGGAGCTGTGCCCCCGGCATGCGTTTAAGAGAATGACAAATCGAACAACAACGACAGTTTCGACATAGTGCGGCAATATGAACGACGCTTGCAAAGTCGCAATTTTTATTTGCTTCATTCCCAAAGAAAACAGTATAATACTGATGTCTACAATGTGTGAAGTAGGTAAATTAGTCACCATTCGATACTGAGATCTTATTTTTATCTACGAGAAAAACACAGCACTTCTCTCAGTGATGAATTTCAAAGCTTTGAATTGAGTTCATTGGAACTTTGCTATGGTGCTTATTTGACATGCTGATTACAGATATAGTACTCATCCCACGAAATATACAGATATAGTTCTCATTTGAAGTAAATTCTCTTTGTTAACTAACGAGCAAAACTGCATGCTTTTGATGCGCGCAAACCTGCGGTCCAAAACGTGTTGAGTTCATCTTTGTGGCTCTTTTGCACATTGAGTAAACAACAAAGAAAGGTTTTCAGATTTTCACTTCAAAAAATTATCAATTAATCAGTTAGTGTACCGCTTGTCGTCAATATTGATCTTAGAGGATGCAGAACATATTTTTCAATGATTTGTATGATAACAAGCTATGTATCAATATTTATCCACTGTAGAGTACTTGCATCAAAAAAAAATTGCGAGCACCCTCTCCCTTCTCTCATCCTTTCTTCTCTTATCGCCGCTTTTCTCAATGTATACTTCAAACTTTCTCACTTCTCAATTTTTTGACAGCTGTATTATATCCGTGCAGCAGTGGCGTACCGTGGTGGGGGGGGGGGGGGGGAGGGGGGGCACGACCGAAACGGGAATCATAGGCACGCCAGCCGTGCAGTGTATGATTGTGATGTGATAGTACACACCACTGATTGGAAAAAAAACAACGTGGTTCCAGCTTGAAAGCTGAGAAAAACAACTGTCTGGAAGGTTGCTCGAGCGCCGAGCGGCTAATTGTAATTGAAAAATGAGTCGTACATGTTATTCATTATCGGAGTATTGCTGCGCGGTGTTTTGCAGAAGGGATCAAAGCTGAACCGCTTAGGCCCCGGACAGACTTCACGCGATTTGATCGTCGCGACTGAATCGGCGACATTTTCATTCATTTTCATTTCACATTCAAAAATTTCGGGCTGGAAAAGTATCACAACCGAAACGCAAGTTGATCGGCATGGAATGATGTTGCAACAGTTGTCTCCTCGCGATTCAGTCGCGACGATCAAATCGCGTGAAGTTTGTCCGGGGCCTTAGTCAACATTCTTGATTTTCTGCAGAGCAAATTGTTTTTTGTAAAATATCAAAGTTCCAGTCAACAAGTCTTGAGCGACCAACATTCTGGTAATAATGCCAGGCAAAGAGTTGTCATATGCATCAAAACAATCGTGGTGTTTCTAAAGAAGATTTTCTAAGAAATTGCTGACATGTCAGCATGACATGACATTAGTAGCACCATACTCATTTTGTAGTTCTAACACACGAATTTGGTGAAAATCCTAATTTGGGAAACACCGATGCAAAAAATGCACTTTTCTCTTGAAAAAGGACCTGTGTGACCAAACATGGTTTTGTGGTATGAAGGTTGGACCACTTTAAAGCTCAATATTCCTTCAAAACAAATCTTTTATTCCGTAAACGGTAAAAATCTTAATTTGGGAAGCTTCTGCACTGCAGAAAATGCGCTATTCTCTCAAAAGAAGATCCTGTGAGCGAAATGTGGTCTTGCTAGTATAAAGGTTGAAACATTTGGTCCGGTTTTTTTTTCGAAAACAAATTTTTGTTTTTTTTGAAGATATCGTTAAGTTTGATGAAAATGTCGCATTGGAAAGCATTTAGCCGCAGAAAATGCACTTTCTTAGAAGAAGACCCTTTGTGGTTTCGTTGGCACAAGGATCGGTTCATTTTAGCATTGACTATTCTTTTACGAACGTCTTGTTTTCCATTCGAATTCCAAAAATCTTGGGCTTTCAATTCGTTAAGCTGTTAAACTGCAAAAAATGCACGTTTCTCACGGAGAAAAGACTCAGAGCTAACTGCAGACGATGCACTTTTTGCTCTAGAGGAAAACTTTGTGAGCAAACTATGATCTCTTGCCTGAAGGTCGGATTATTTCAGAGCTAGGTAATCTTTCCAAAACGACTCTTTATTTCCCTTGCAAATTTCGAGAATCTTGATGGATGTATCAATTTAAAAAGCATATACGCTGCAGGATATGCAAGAAGACCTTGTGGATTAACTCTGTTTTCGCCTGTAAAACGATGTATGGCCGACAGCATTTGTAGTTAAGCACTTGATAGATATTTTCATCATGGAAATTCTATGAATTGCAATGAAAATGTCAAAGAAAGAATACTGCAGAAATTGCATCCATATAAGTGTACTTTCAGTCGACTTTGTTCAAGCACTGATTGTTGATTGCTATCAATAAGCAATAAATAAGCTATACCAAATTTACCCTTTGCGGTTTATTGAAAAAGAAACTAAATCGTTAATGTTGTGTTATTCAAAGTCAGATTTTTCATTTTATACGCTCTAAAAAATAAGCGCAAATGTAGTGTAGTTATACACCCTGCTAATGTGACCGCACGACTTACTTGTAGCGATTTGAAAGGTAAGCGACATCATCATATATTATTTATACGAAAACATATTTGAGGAACACACATAGGACAGTAAACACGCAATCCTTCATTCTTTCCCTCTCTCCCATATCTGAGTATGGAGACTGCATAATTTTTGAAACTATTGCACGTAACCGGAAGCTTTAACATAATCTACAAGATTTGGGAAAATTTTTGTATGAACTTTGACCTCAGCGAAGCTTTCCTCGTTTTCTCCCATCACAAAAGAATTTTGCCCCCATGATTTAGAAATCCTTTTGACATCACTCTTACTTATATGTGACTCGTTTATGCGTGTGTTTCGGAACTTCCAACCAGAGAGCAGACATTGGTTTTTCGCTAATTCGAGTTATTTGAGTTTATCGCTGGAAAACCGAAGACCCCATCCAATTACATCCGTTTGTGAATACTTCGCTGCCAAATTTTTCTGTGGAGCTAACTGAAATTTCTACCTGCACTGATACAACAGCTACGGGGGAATATTCGTGCGTAAAAGCTGTTTTCACATTGAAAAGAATGTTCAGGCAAGTTTTCCATGTTTTTAATGTTTTTTAAATTTCTATCTTATATATTAGACCGAAGCAAAAGTTCTTCCCTTGATTTAGATCAAGCCGCAAATCCCCAAAGAGAAGATTTACAGATAAATTAAGCACTATTCAATGCATTTCATTCTCTTCAGCAGTTATGGTCACTATGAGACTCTTCTAAAGTCGAAGGAATTGCCAAAGCTTACGAGCTTTCATTTCCGAACTGTTCGGATTTTTATTCGAGACTTTTGAAGGTGCTTCGATAATCGGCTGATAAGGGCGAACCTTTTGCGAATTAATGCAACATTGTATTTCTTTGGTTTCCTTTTAGAATTGCTAAAATAAATTTTCTATAGTCTTCAAGTTTCATATTAGGCCTACTGTAACTTCGTAAAACATGAAATGGTAATCAGTTTAGTTACCATTTAATGCGAATCTTCTCTCCTTTCTAGCCATTTTCTCTTCCAGTCAATGCGAAATTTGCAAGGAAAAATAGCGCATTTTCCATTACGAATGTTCACTGATGCATCCTAAAATTCAAATTCTTTATATTTCAAAACGACAGTCGCTCCTTTACTTTTTATGTCGATAATAGTGTCGAGTTTTGTAATTTCAACATCATGAAGATCTTGCAGTGCTGCAAATCTTGCATTTACGTGTCAAGCGACTTTCTTGGGAGTTAACTTTTAGGCATTATTCAGAAGAAGTCTGAAAAGGGAGTCAAAGATAAAGAGAATCGCATTAGCTTGCAAAAGGTTTGCTCTATCATAACTCGATGACCACGGCCTGCGGAAAG